TTGTTATATTCAATTATTTTCTCTTTAAGGAATATGTAAAATGTAATAAAGATGCATGGTATAAAATTAAAGGGAGCAATCTGATAGTATAATTCAAAGATAATGAGTTAAATATCCAATATCCAGAATTGCTGTCAAACAGATCTGATAAATGTTAAATGCTTATGATTTGTATTCATCAATTTTTACCGCATATTGCTAATGTCATGTTAGTGTCTCAGTTCTGAAGTTTCCTTTAAATAAACTCTGTTGAGTATTCTTTGCACAAAAATGTCCTATTCTTGAATGTTCTTTCAGTGATAGATTAAAATGCAGATTCCAAAAATAGATCAGTCACTTATTTCAACTCTAGACCTTTGAAAATCCAGATCAATTGCCTTTTGTCATCGTCTTTATATGGAGAGTAAGAAATTTCAGCTTATCACCATAGAAAAAACTTTTAGACTACTTTGGTGAAGGCAGCCAGATTGCTAGTTCGAAATGCCCACGTTCTATTTCTTATCAAGAGATTTACATTTTGGAATATTCATCCACATTTTAATCTTTATGAGAAAGCACGGATGCCATACAGCAATTTACAGCACACATTAACCACCTTTAAAGTGTTGAGATTTTCTGTCAAGTTTATGGGTTTTACCAAGGTGGGATTCCACGCAGGGCAAACTTTTTCCTTAAAATCAGTGATAAGAGCGAGAAAACGTTTAAGACAAAATCCCAGCTCAAATCTTCTGCGCTTCTCCGTCTCTCGGTAATGAAGTCTGGGAAAGAAATCACAGACACCCAAGTGGTTTGGCAACTGTAAGTGACAGAAGCTCAGCTAAATCCTCTGTTTACACTGGGGATTAGCCGGGAAGATTGTGCGCCGGGAACTGAGCTGGCGATGGTCAAGGGAACCTGCTCCCTCTCCGCCCGTGGGGCAGCGGCACAAAGCCCCGGCCTGGTAGGAAGTGACCCATAAACGTATCCCGACGAAGGATTTACACAAAGCCAGCCTGCCTCACAGAAACTCCATATGACCATTAACTGGCCTGCAAGGCCTGCCAGGAGGCCTAATTACAGGTCTACAGAGCCCAATAACAAAAGCTGAAGAGCTTTAGCCAAGGGATGATCTGCTTTATACTGACTTGAGAGAGTCCATATAGAGTGACAAAAAGAAAGAGGTTTAGCTTTAAAACTCTCCCAAGAGACAAAGCATTGTAGCTAAGTCTGGAAGGCCCACATGCAACATACTTCAGATAGGCTTAAACATACCACCCTCTCAAAATTAACATTCAACTATTGCCTGCTTAACATCTGCTCAGACGTGGCAAGTTGCTGCGATATTGTTAGAGGATGCTAAAAAGGCTTTCTTATATAGCAATATTAAGAAGGGTAAGTAAATAGAGCCGCGGAAATATAAATTTATAGCTGAGACCAACAATTTCTACTAAATGACAGCTTTTATAAATCAAAAATCAGTTGCCTTAAAAATTAAAGCGGAGTGCTACAGTATCTTCAAGTATTGCCCTGCTTAATAAGAATGAAGATACTGACATTAATCTACACCAAAAAAGAAAAAAAATAATTTAACAAAGTGCATAGCAACATCAATTTGAATGAAGGGCTTGGAGACAAAATGTCTTGACAGCACTATATTACCTGAATATAAAGATGGCCATCTTCCCCTCCTCCCCTCAGAAATAGGGTGAATATTTCGCATTTACCAGCTCTCCCACAAGAAACCAGAAGTCACAATTCCCAAAATGCACCAGCGAAAAAAATAGATATCCAATTAAAGAGTCTGGCTTACTACTTGATATCTATGATTCTGTGATTTTTTGGCTTTCAGAGAAATCAGTTGTTGTTTCCTAAATTAATATCTAAGTGAGATTCTAACAGCAGATTTTCCCAAGATACCAAACATCTACAATTCCTGATGAAGCTGAGCAGTTGGCCATTAGACCTACTTTCCCTAAAATCAAGCATCTCTGGTAATAAAAAAAGCAGTGAAGAGTGAAGGGAATACAATAGCATGTAATTTATTTTTTTAAACTATGGCCATTGTACTAGAGCAGGACTTGGAAAAGTTGACATGCTGAACACACTTTCAAATATTCCTTAAATCCATAACATTATGAGTGAATTCTAATATACCACTTTCTCTTGCTTAAAAAGCCGCAGGGATAAAGGTACGTAATTTCCATGTCAATAGGTTGATGTGAAGCAAAAAATTATACACACATTATCTTCAGAGTGAGAAGACAACTCTAACAAACTCCAGAAGAACAATAAAGCAAAACAAGGACTATCTAAACCTTTTTGTACCTAAATTCTTTTGGCAGTCACAGCCCTTATAGAGTGTCTCTTGCCTGTAGCTAATGCTGTTGTCAGCAGTACTTGGCACAAAAGCAGGGTGAGCTGTTTCACTAGCCCAAAGCACATGGACAGAGTGCAACCAGCACTTGGAGTGACATTTCCTATGCTTGGAGAAAGGTTGGCAATTACTGCTTTTAAAATTGAACAAAATATCTTCAGACATTCTGCTCTGATAATGCAATAGCCCAAATTCCTTCTCTTAATAAATATGGATGTATATTGTATACAAACATGTATTTGTTCCTGTGCCCAGCTTGAAGAAAGCACTTGAACTTAAGCCCTGACATCAAATCATTTTCCCTCAATTCTATATATGTTCCAGGTTCTGAGAGAATCACAGAATCATAGAATGGTCTGGGTTGGAAGCAAACTTAAAGACCATCTAGTTCCAACCCCCCTGCCATGGGCAGAGACACCTCCCACCAGAGCAGGTTGCTCAAAGCCCCATCCAGCCTGGCCTTGAACACCTTCAGGGATGCGACAGCCACAGCTTCTCTGGGCAACCTGGACCAGTGTCTCACCACCCTCACAGTCAAGAATTTCTTCCTAAAATCTAATCTAAATATCCCCACTTTTAGTTTAAAACCGTTGCCCCCCATCCCATCACTACAATCCCAATGAGTAAACACTCAAAAAAGATACTGAAACAACATTATTAACATTTCCAACACTCCTCTCACACCAGATTAATAAAGATTCAATTTAATTGACTGAATACAGGACTGGGGAAGAAGGTGGGGGGATCATCGCATAAATGCCTGAGATTACGGAGACTTAAAGCCAGGAAAGAACTTCTTTCTGTATTTTGGATGTTAAGAGAAATAAACAGATTAACTCACTTGAGTTATTTATGAACAGCTTGCAGCTTCAGTCCAAGTTTCAGACTTCAATTGTGAATATTTAAATTTAACAGTGTCATAGACCTTTTATATGTTTTTGGAAATTTTTGGGACTCAGGCCATGATGATATACAACCCACAGGTATCTTTTATACATTTCCCAGGTGTTAAATTAAAAAATGAGGTGTGATAGATGTGAGTAGTATACACAAATTGTGCTTTTTTAGGCCAGTGCTGTCACATCTATTTTATAATTATATGCTTCAAACTTTAACTTTATTAAAAGTTAAGGAGAACAATGAATGCATTTGAATCTATACAACACAAAAGGCTAGGTGCATTTTTTAAAAAAGTATAAGCAATGTGAGGAAATAGGCATTTCTTAAACCAGAAGGTTTCCACAAGGGGAAAAATTAAAAAAATGGAATTTCTTAGAAATTGCTGTTTATAAGTTAAAAAATACATATATGACAGATGAAAGCTGAACTAAAGACAAATATGTATTTATTACAATGCATATGAAATACTATGAAACCTTTCCTTTAGGCATGACCAACTGCCAAAGTTTTAATGGGAAAATTAAAATAAAATATAGAAATTAACTGGATTACAAACCTCAACACAGACTATCATTTTAGAGTATTAAACCATTATTTTAATAATCTGAAGACAAATACAAGTACCTACGGAACATCCAGTAATGTTATATAAAAGGATCATTAGTCATTTACAAATTTATTATCATTTCCACAGCCCTACTACAGTGTAAGGTTCTTGAGTCATGTTTTCCCAACCATAGCATAAGCACATCAAAACACAGGCAACCCCTGTAAGTAACCACTTGGAGCCTGGGTGAAGAGAGAAGCAACCCCTCTGCATCACGGCCAGCGAGAGGCTGGTACCCAGACACCCCACCCCAGTGCGAGGGCGCGCGACCACCACGAGGACAAGGAGCAGAATGGACCTCAGGCTCAGTCACACCACAGGTCAAATCCACAGCAACTTCCACGGTGGAAAAACCCAAGAACTGCATGTCGAGGCTGCGTAACTCAACACTATTAGATTAGTAAAAATAAACCAAAGAAATGTCTATTTGGAAACAACCACATCTCTGAGCTTTAATGTGGACTTAGATACAACACTTACCAAAAAATAGGCAGCATAAAAGGAATGATATTCTCATCTTTGGCACAACAGGACAACAATTTCTTTAAAGTATTAAACCTGGCATAAAGCCACTGGATTACTCCAATTTTTATTTAAATTAAAGGTTCCAAAATTAAAAGTATTTACCAAGATATGTCTCTTGCCTTCCTTTGTACTAGAGCTAGACTAAATAGGAATGTTTGTCTCTGCAGGGGACTAGTGTGTAGATCACTCTCTTGATCTGACCCTTTTGGAAAGCTTGCTACATATTTCCGCTACTATTTCAAATAAATAAATATATATAAACACACACATGCACTAGTTCAGTTCAGTGCTAAAAAATAAAGACACAAACCCAAATTTTTGGGACCGCAGAATAAAGTCTCAGTAGCAGCAGGGCAAACACATGAGTGCTGGTTTTCAACAACAAACAAAAATTACTTACTTTTATCTCCTTAAAGGGATTTACTAAGTCCCAATGATTATGCACACCAGTTTCATCTTAACCAGAAATTGAAGTGAGCTACGGAGAAAGGGACTTAGCATTCGCCAAACAGAAATGGGTAAAATTACTGCCTTGATAGGTCTCATTTTTTTGATATTAGAAAAGTTAAATACATTTTTGAGGAATATAATTTTACTTAAAATAGCAACACTTACCGGCTGCCTCGAGAACCAGCTGCAATCTAGCTTTGGCCTGTTCAGCAGGAGTCTGAAAAGAGAGGATTTATAAGCCTTCGTAACTGCACGTTCAACACCCAAGGTCACACGTTACCGACCACGGCGCTGCCACCACCAGCAGGGAGCTGTCACCCCTGCGAGTGCCACCCAAAGCAGCTTTCAGCAGACTGAAATAAGGACTATTGCATTTTGAGTTAGAAAATATCAAAAAATTTTCAGAATTGACAGAAAATACAATCCCAACAAGGTAGCACTATGACACCCTGACCAACCCGAGCACCCACAGCCCTGGCCAGGCTGAAGTCCACCTCGAGCTCCTTTCTCAGGCCTCCAACAGCAAACCCTCCTCAGCTACACAAAAATACATGGCTACACAAGCATGCTCAAAATCTGGTTTTAATATGATTAATATGGCGAGTCTTTCACACTTCTTCTGTTATCTGTTTTGATTTTTTCCTCTCCTTAAGGTATTTCTTCACATCTGTTGGGTTGAGGAACATATTGTTGGCTGTGTACCCACTATGCTAATTATTCCAAGTGATGTTTTACTGTGTCCAATGTGCTTGCCATCCCTCTAATTTTGAAGCCACTCAAACGTTTTCACAGTTAAATTTATACACAAACCACATTTGTCACGGAGTTCAGAAGTTGATTATTTCTGTAAGCATCTGAAAAGTTTGAGAGGCTTCTGCTCTGCACTAAAAACAAAACATGACGGAAATTTTTCGTGTCATTGTTCAGCTTTGAAAACTCTTCTAGGCAGATGTTGCTACTGGAACATTTTTTTCTGACAACCAGTCTAAGTTTGCACCCTTCCAGTTTCACCTCATTAGCCATACAAATATTAATCAGGGTAATCAGGCAAAGTTCTTCAACACGAATGTCCCAACTGATGATCCTCTGCAGGGTAAGAGAGTTAGCTTGTATTCTGTGTGATATCACAGGCTACACCACTATTGATACTGTATTACTATAAGATATAATCTGTATAAAGTGGCGTTGTATTTTGAAAAATGCACTGTCATAATTTGAGTGAGAGCTTGAAAGTTTCAAGTTTGGATATCTCCAATGCTGTGTGCCGAAGCACACACGTTCTTGTACTAATTAATGAGAAAACTATTTTCTGCTTTTTAGGGGTTTCTCTTTATTTATCCTTTGTTTTACATTATGTCTACACCTATTAAGAGAGGCTGATGGCAAAGAACAATTCAATTTCTACTACCAGTAATTACAGATTGCTTCTTTCATTAGCACGCAATATGAAAGATGTTATATGAATCCACAGATTAATTCCTGAAAAAGGAAATTTAAATTAACATCCAGATTTCAGTTGTATAGGGCTCTAATATTTTTTAGATTCAAAGTTTGCTAGCTGTTTGCATAAACCCAAGATTATTGGGGTTTTATTTATTTTTATAATTTATTATTAGAACTACCATACCAATGCTACCATTAGTGTTGACCACTAATCTTGGTGCCAGCAAGAAAAATCTTGAAATTTATTATAAAAACATCTTCAAACTTCTTCCTCTTGCAATGAACTAATTATTACAATATGTTTTGGCATATTGAATACGTCACTAGAGGAAAGAAAGGAGAGGAAGGAAAGGATCTGCTTTCCTTCCAGAACAAACTTGCCCAACTTACTAAGTTTCAGAAAAGCCATACTTAGGTTTGTGGTTTTTCCATTCCTATGACAACTTTAGATACAAAAGAAAAAAACCTCCAGGGTTACTTTATGGCAAAATATTGCAGTACAATTTAGCAGAGAAGGAGAAGTGTTTGGTGTAAAAATACTAGCAGTGCTCACATATTCACGTGAACAGTCTTTGTGCAACCCAACCCACCGGTCAGGTTCTGGCATCCAGTAACGCTTAGAGCAAGTAAATAGGTTTCCTATATTAGTTTTCTCCATTCTGCAACAAAGTGTTTGATTAAGTTAACTAATTCACCACCCTGTCTGGGCCACAGTGCATCTCCACAGCCCCAGCACCCTCCCAGGCTGCAACTCACTCCTCGGGCAGCCCAACGCCGGCAGCAGCACCAGCCAACACGTTTCTAAAGCAGCTTTCTTCTGTAAGTTTCAAGTGTGTTTCAAATGCTATGGGACTGGTTGTGTTAAGAGAGATCATTTTCTGTTCTTATCCAGTTATCCGGTTAGATGTCATCTTTTCAGCCGTGGAACAGTCTGGTTAGCGCTACAGACTGGAGAAAGAGACTGATATTATTTCACTGATGCTATTTCCATATTCAAAGCCTAAAGTGACAACATCTAGCACCATTACATCACCAACAATTCCTTGAAAGAGCAAATATTAAACGAGGCTGCAGATGGAGGAAAAGGGAAAGCAATGAGCAGCAGTACAAGTGACACCTCCCACCACTAAATGTGAAGTTGCGCCAATACTAACACAACTGCTCCCCCTGCTCTGAAATGCACCACGCAGCTCAAAATGCTTTTTCCCACTCCTCTCGTGTAGGTGAGATGTGTCTTGTTGGTATAAGGTAGGCTAGACTAAAATTATTCTTTTATGAAGCAATATCCCATTGGAAACTGCAAGGGCAGTTCCCCACTTCCCCCTTGCCCTGACGGCAGCCCTAGCACTGACTGATACCCAGGAGAAGTGGGTAGAGATGTCTTTCTGTTATCAATCAATATGCCCTAAACAATGAAGGGTTCTTAAAGAAAGGTTACCAGCTTGGCTCCAGAACACTTGTCCAACTGGTGGATGAGGCCAACGCTCTGAGAAAACGGACAGAGACGAATTCATCTGAAAATCACAATTAGACCCCCAAACAAGCCGTTAGCAATGTGTGAGAAAGACTGACTACTGGAGGTTAGTATTGATTTAGAAGACCATTAAATGACAAAATTCAGAAAGGCCCTCAGGAAACTTAAAAATGGTGAAATGATTGGTGTAGGAAACATTATCAGAGTGGTATCTAGCACAAGTTGCAAAATAAACCCTCGTGCTTCCCTTAAGGTATTAAGCATAACACAGAAGGAAAAGAATTCAAAACTGTGTAAAAAAAAAATATAATAATAGTACCAAGTATTTATAGTACCAACTGATGAAGCTGACAACTAACTCTAAAAGCAGGAAAGGAAATCCCTAACAGGCATATCACAACATAACAGGAGGCGTGTCAAACATCCCTAACGATGAATTTTACATACATCAAAAAAAAGTGTCTGGTATCAGACTGAAATTATGCTTCAGAAAATGATGGTATTCTACAGGATACCATAAACCAGAAATATCCATGTGATTAATAATTGCTATTAATATCTCACACAAAAATTTGATTATATGTATTCAATTTTTAATGCAAGATCTTTGAGGAAGATGGGGCACATCCTTCTTTATTTGCATTCCTACTGCATTACATCACTACTGCTTTCATAAATGGTATGTTTTTTATTAGAATGGCACTAAAACCAGTGTCTCATAACTTTAAATTCCGTGTTTATTGTGTAAAAAAACACACACAAGTTGCTTGTCAGTAGTAGCTGTGATGGAGGGAGTAAGTGATGGTTTTGATGGGCAGCTTCAATCATGCCATCAGTGTAATGTTCCACTTTCAAAATATTCAACTGCAAGTGGGATTCAGCTTTCAACTTTTATCAAAAAAATTAATAGGTTTGAAACAAACACTTAAATTTAGCATGTAGATGTCATTTTTAAAAATCTTCCTGCTACTTGTGATGCATGTTTTTGGCTGAGAAAACAATATTAAAGTAAAAATAAACTTGAGAAAATTAAGGAAAAATTTTGAGAACAATTAAGCTTAAAAAGAGAGTCCAAACTTCCATTTGACCTATTGACTGTGAGCATTAAGGACTGCACGTGGCTCTGGTCAGTATTGACAAACATTACATTAACACAAGTCAAGCAGTTAATGATGCTGAAGTATTTTGAGTAGTAATTGGAGTTGCAACGCTCTCTTAACTACGTTTTACGAATAGGAAACTTCCATATAAAATGTCACTGATGTTTATTGCTTCTGCTAAAACTGGACATATTCAATTCCTACTCATCACTGACACTGGTTGTGTATAATTTAACTACAGGACTTTTCTCTCTGATGACATCTCTATAAAAGCCTAACAAATCTTAGTGTGAGAGCGATCAATTTTTGTGGTGGCGGGTTTTTTTGTTTGTTTGTTTGTTTTTTACACAAAGGAATTACCTTTGCATTTAATACAGACAAAACCAGCAGTCCTCAAGCCCTCTCCATCTCTGCTCACAGGGAGTGACAGCCCCTAAGTGCCATGCTTCCCACAGCAAACACCACCAACGTTCCTCCGCCGTCTTAGACACACTTGCTGCCCAAAATTATAATTCCATGTTCTACTTGCAGAGAGGACATAGGGTATCAAATTTGTTTAACAAAAATAGTCAAGTTCATAATTTAAAAAGATTTTCCACTTACTGATAAAAACAATTTCCTACAGGCATTATAGGAACTATGAAGCTACAGATCTCCTATCTTTGCAAGCTAGTTTCTTTATGCCAGTTGAAATGTCTTAGTGTTACTTCTCCTCCTAAAGAAAAGATTTGTGTCCAGGTTTCTTCCTGAAGACAACTCATGGCCTCGTGGTCAAACGCCATTCTAAGAGTGGCACGACAGAGTTCCTGCTCATATTTTGGGGATAATATTAGCACAACCACACATTGCAATAAAAAATAAAATATGAATGGTAGGTTTGTAAAATACAGATTTCCTCAGAAAGACGCCATTTCCCAGATTCAAATTGCTTTTGATGCAAATGTATACAGTAAAATTCCAGTTTAAACAACAAAATCAAAACAATACCCAAAGGACTCAGCAAACAAACACTAATTAAGTAACCTTACATATGATTTTGAAAGCTTAAATCTGTCTGCTTGTTTTAGCTTCAGCCTATCATCAGTTTCCTGGGGACATTTATCTAGCCTCTCTCAATGCTTGATGAGCTCAAAAAAAAACCAAACGTAACAAGAAAAAAAAAAGAACAAAATATAAGTTTCCTAGTTGTCTGAAGAGACA